GATAGGTTTGAATTGTTACCCAGGTCCAGGAAAGGGTTCAATTCCAGTTATGCAATAACTTGGTGATAACTGGCTGTGATTAGAGCAAAGGAACTGCTGCATCTGATTGTAGTGGAAGAAACAGGTCCACTTAACAAACCATGTGGGGAATGCATTAATCATAGAATCATAGAATTATACAGCACAGAAGGAGGCCATTCAGCCTATCGGGTCTGTGCCGGATCTTTGAAAAGAGCTATTCAAATCAATCCCACTCCCCCCTCCTCTCTCCCCATAGCGCCTGCAAACCTGCCCTGCCCAAATAATTATCTATTGTTATTCATAGATTAATAATGATGCAATGAAGCCAATATAAGCAAGGAACCAACCTCCCTGCAGGTGTGTGAGGGGAGATACCATAGCCAGGGTGCACACGAAAAAGGTTTTGGCATTGAGGGAGGAAAGTTAAAGACCTTCCAGTTCCTGTTATTTTATGTGAAAGGTGCTGTGACTATACAAGCAACAGTTGGAGTTCAAGTGAGTCAAGCAGTCGCATTTAAAAACAAACAGCAGAACTCCAATGTTTAGAATTCCACTAAAGAGCTTATAAAATGGCACTTGCCAACAGCAGTTGATAAGAAACTGGGTATTAGCCTGAACAGGGAGCCTGCGGTAGGGTTAGGTTTCTCTTCTTTGCTTGTCCAGCACAATTTCTTTAAAGGAAGGATGGAAGGATGTGCTATGGGAACTGTATTCATTTTGTTTAAATAATGCAGGGGGGAATTAGATTTGATGTGTGTGTCATCGATTATAATCCTTTGTCAAATCCTCAAATTTACAAGAGTGCTTTGGTCCAGGCTGGGTTTGTTGTTCCTGGGCTGATCAGGGTAAACATGTTCTATGTGCCTCCTTAAGGTACAGTAGTAAATATTCCTTGTAAAGTATTGGGATGGATTTTGAGGAGAGTTTCCTACCGAGTATGGCTTGATCTTCAACCACTATGACAATACCAGATGCGGTAAAATCTTAAAATCTCCGCCACATTCTCATTCCAGAGAATGGTCCCCTCCAGAGAGAGAGAGAGAGAGAGGGAGTGGGGGGGGGGACGACAAACTCTGAGAACCCTGAGAAAAATCTATTTCACAGCTTAAAGATAATTTAATTGTGCTCCATAGAAAGAAAAAAAAATGTTGCTCCACCACCACCTTTTCTTTAAAGCCTATGAAATTATTGTAAAAAAAAAAGCCTTGTTCGGTATTTCTTTGCAATGTCCACTTTTTTTTTTCTTCTGTGTGGCTGATCATCATTTCCCAGGATAGGTTTCCGCATCACATACATAAATTGAGGATTAAAAAGGGAGCCGAGGAGCTGAATGAACCTAATTTCCCTATTTCAGGAGTTCCTGCCGCCACAGCAGGCACAATCACCAGAATGCGGCTTCCATTGTCGAGATGTGCCGCTTTGCTGAAAGGAACTTGTGCTCTTTTATCTGGCTCTGGTCTTCTTAATAAGGCCAGCCGACAGTTTGTTTAATTAATGCCAGGCTACAATGCTGAATAGCTGATGGGAAAAATACCTTGTGCAGGGCTATTAATAACATGGCCCTTAACTGATGTATTAATTGACTTCACTGAAACTGCTCGGTATTGTTCGTTGCCTGTGCAAAGGTTTGTTTTTCTTTTTTTTTTTGTGTATATATATATTTATAAAACATATAAATTTGCGAACCCCTGAGAATCGATTGCCGCCTTCAACAATAAATAGAAGCACGTCGGAAAAATAACGTGGCATAAAATAAGGGTGTCACTTCAAAAAAAATCTTTGTTTTGCACAGCACAGTTGTCGGATCAGAATCATCCAACGCCGCAACGTAAAACGGAAACATTCAAACGATTCCAAACGAAATCAAAACTATTTTTAAAATTGAATGAGTCATCTTCATAGGTATTTGGGGGATAACATGTACTAGTGTTGGCCTCTCTGCCACCCCCCACCCCCACCCCACCCCCCACCCTCCTTGATGACAAGCGAAAAGAGCTAACATAGGATCAACTAACTACAACTGCAGGAAAATTATTTTCTTTGAGAAAATTGGTCATTTTCTCGAAATGCGCTGGTTGGTCTTGATTTTCTTTTTTTTGATGGAATGTGCTGTGTAAATCGGAGCCAAACAGCAGCTGCTTCACACACCCTCCACACACTGGCAAGGAACTTTTGATACGTCTCTTTGATATACAGTAAGACCTCATTATAATTTGCTGCCTTTAAAACGCCGCACTCACAAATTACCCCCCCAAAGAACAGTTTTACTCCCACCTCTTTGATCTCATTATACTGATACCCCCGGCTGGCCTCCATTTGCCAACATATTCAGGACAAATGGGAATACAAACGTTGAATGTGATCTCGGCACACCAGCATGTAACACGATTAAACGTACAAGCTATATAAAATGTGCTGCCGCTCCATGTATTATCCTATAATAACGTGTAACAATATGCTGTGTCTCCCCGTGCTATCGAATGACATGAATTTGTCCCTTGAACCATCACAGAGGCCGCCTCGCTCATTTTAATGTGAGCCCGGGAAGAATTTGATAATAATAATTCTTGGATTTCACACAATGCCTTATCACATCATTGAGACGTCTCAAAGAGCTTCACAAAATACACTGTAAAGTGCAGTGACTGTGTATTTTGTGGGTTAAAGCAGGTACATCTCCCTCTGCCAACTCACCTGTTTCTTTTTCTCTGACCTACTGTTCTTCCTGTCTACTTCCCCCACCCCAACCCTGTTTAGGATTGACTGTCACTTTAGGTACCTTAGCCAAGTGACATGTCTTTGTTTGGAAGACTAGACAGTGTTTGTCAGCAGATCGCTCAACAATGTCGTTCACATCAAGCAGAGAATAAAATAAGTAATAATAATAATAATAATCCTTGCATTTGGTTTAGTGCCTTATCACGTCTCAAAAGCGCTTCATAGGATATTCTGTAAAGTGAATTGACTGTATATTTTGTGGGCGAACGTAGGCAAGATTGTGAGGGCAGTCTGTTCCATGGGGAACAAGTGACAAAGTCTGAAGAGATGACTGTGTGTAAGCAAGAGAAGTAAGAATTGTGTGAGAACAAGTGTGTGAAGAGCAGAAAGAGACGAGGAAGTACCAAAAAAAACTATTTGAGTCCTTCAAAACCAGATTAGCTGTACGTGCTGTCAGTAACCTTTGTGATCAGTCAGCACCGATATTGTCACTGAATGAATTTGTTCATTTCATTCCAAAAGTTCTTTAGCCTATGTTTGAGTTTTATATACTAATCCTTGCATTTGATATAGCGCTTTTCACGCTCTTCTCGACGTCTCAAAGCGCTTCACAGAATAGACTGTAAAGTGAATTGACTGTATATTTGTGGGCGAAATATCCAAAGCACTGGCCTTTTTTTTAAAAAAATGCTCTAAATATTTGCCTTTTGATATTAAACTACTCGTGATTCTCAAGTATATAATGTTTCGCGTATAAATCCACTCCAGGTTCATTTGTCTGATTTTTATAAAATGGGTGGCAAATGACATTCACACATTGGGACCTTGATTTGAAAAGAGAGCAAACTGGTGGGATGATAAGCTTCTTCCCTCTACTGGCACCAATGAAAACTTTAATTTGAGCAGATTCAACCTTGTCTCTTCGTGGGCGTTAGAACCACAGTACATTGCTGCCCCCAATTGAAAATCTCAGAAGTTACCAGGAAACTGAACAACAACGAATGCTGCCACAGCTACAGAATTGTGAGTTTGGAAAGGTGTGTTGGAGGCGTTGCAATATAGAGAGTTTTGCGCTGAATTCAGCTGTGATGGCAGACGGAAAGCTGCTACCTCTGGTGGCCGTGATCGTTGCATTTGTAATCAGCAACAACTTGCATTTATATCGTGCCCTTAGTGCAGGCTCGTGTCCCAGAGCGCTTTGATCATCATTGCACTTGAAGTAGCGCCTTATCATGTTGTGGAAACGTCTCAAAGCGCTTCATAGCATTTACTGTAAGGTGTCGTGAGTGTATGATTGCAGAAGCCAGTTTGCGCCCAGCAATATCCCACAAACAACCATAAATGTCGCGTCTTCATCCCACTTCGAGGCAAGAACAGTCAGCCCAGCCAGATTCTGGCAGCTCTCAAGTTAATTTTTTTTCTTTTATTCTCAAAGACAATCTATGTTATCAACTTGCCATTAGATAAACTTGATTGTAAAAGCCTTGGACTATTCTTTAAATGAAATCCTAATCCTTCCCACCTGTAATTTTACACATGTGCCCACTGGGTGACTCCGCACAAACTTCAAATGAAACGGCATTGAATTAATCTTGTGCAAATTTACTCACTCCGTGAATCTAAGTGCTCCTGAAAACATGAGTGAATTATGGCGAACACATCTGGCTGGCCACATTAATGGCACCTTCATCAAAAACATTATGTTGTTATAAGATGGTTCTTAGTAAACCATTTTTTATTCTATGGTAAATGCCCCAGTAAACATAGCGCAAACTACAGCATGAATACCTTTAACCTAACATGTGTTGTCTGGACTTTATTCTGCAAAATGTAACTCACCTGACCCAGTTTATTGGAAAACCTGACCATCAAAAGGTCAGAAAGCAGGAAGAGAAACGTGACAAGTTGAAACTCTCCACATCGGCTTCAGACAAGGTCAGGAATAATCTGCGCAAAGCTATTCCCTTTGTTTCAAGGATGGGGCACTTTCCTGGCTCTAATTTTTACCCTAGGCCTGGTGTGTGCACTCTTTATGATTGCTGTTATGAGTAGCAGTTGGCTGTTGCGGACAAAAGTTTTGCTTGTTGTCACTGTGGCCCAAAGCGAGATTTGTTCCATTCTCCCACGGATTCATACCCCACGTAAAATTAGAAAGTTGAGCAAACGTTCACAAACTCGATGTGAAAGGCTGCGCAAACCTTGCTCAGTTAGGTGACGGAAAATCACTAAAGCTATGAAAACAGCAGCAAGACGTCAGAGTTAGTTTAAAACTTTGGTATTTTTTATTGTGCAAAAAGTATGATCGTCAGTTTTTGTTCCCAACGCTATTCGTAACAGTGGCCCGGGAGATTTCATCCCTGGGTTTACTCAGCACAACACCATCGAGTACACGTGCACAGTTTGTGACTCTGTGTCCCACTGTCGGCAATCTTCAAGCTCTTTATTGGCTGCAAAAGCAGCCGGTTAAGTAGGGCTCCAGCCACTGAAAAGCTCCCACTGGGTATTTCGGAAGTATTGGAAAGGTAAACATTTTATTGATGAAATGAAATGACGCATGCAAAATAAATTCCATTCAAACATTATTTAACAAGAAGATTCTTCTGTCAATAAAAACGAGCAGCAGTATTTGAACGTGTACATCACCGTTTCTTTTGGAAGGCAAGAAGGATAATGCATTGAATTTACTTTGGATACAAAAAAATACTTCACCTCCAATTCCCCCCGTTTCTGAAATCACCGTCACACTATGGGAACTGTTCCCCAGATTCCAATCACCCTTCAATACATTGGGTCAAGTGACATCTCCCTACGTACGAGGCCAGACTAACACTGGTCAGAAGTTTTATCAGCACAGTAAATAGTAAGAGATTTGATGGTTGCGCTTGTGCAGCAAATGCTTTATTGCTGCTTTATTCACACAATGCTATTCACTGCAATTGAAAATGTCCAAATCAACCCTAAATATTCCCAAAGAAAAAAAAACTTAATACAACAGTTAGTTTAAGTAAGTTCAATTATCACATAGTAATGGGGATTGATTTAAATCCTAACCAGGGTTATAATTGGGCACAATCTCCGGTCAGCGGGAACTATACATGTGCACAGAAATCCCCTCTGGGTTTTCACACGCTAACAAATGGCTGACTTCTGGGTCATCAGGTCACCACTAACCTCAGTTTCTGTGCCAACTCTGGGAGACTTCACTGTCCTTCTGCTAAAGGAAATGGAGGGATGAAGATTTAACATTCTTTCCCAACATCAAATTGCAAGCTTTAACCATTCGAGTTGCTACTCCTCACACAATCTGATTTCTCTCAGCCCCCACCCCCACATGTGCTGGAGTAGATGACCTCAGGCATGAAGAGCTGAATCCTGCCATCCTGTTCAACTTCAAAAGGACATTCCAGCTTGTGGAGAATTTTGAAAAGCTGGCTGTACATTCAGCAAAGAGCAAACCTGAAAGGAGCAAAGAAATTTGTTTGACGTCAACACAAAGCTTCGACTCCCCATTTCAGACCTTTTATTGATGAAATGAAATGAAGCATACAAAATAAATTCCATTCAAACATTATTCAACAAGAAGATTCTTCTGTTAATAAAAATGAGCAGCAATATTTGAACGTGTACCAGTTCAGACATGGTCGTCACTGACTTAACTAAATACCCGTGGTGCTTCTGAAGTTGTGATAAATCATTAATAATTCAAGATAAGATAATAATAATCCTTGCGTTTGATATAGCCCTTCATCACGTCTTCGAGACATCTCAAAGGGCTTCACAGAATATACTGTCAAGTGAAGGAATGGCCTCCTTCTGTGCCGTAACATTCTATGATTCTATGAATGCAGTGACTGTATATTTTGTGGATCGAAACGCGGCAGCCAATCGCGCACGGCAGATAGGCAGTCTCAGGTACACATGTAATTTAGCAACTGTACAAACCTGCTTAAATTTGGATCTGATCTTGTCCAGGTCCTCCTGTAACTTGTCATACGTAGGGTCTTCATACGGGAAGCTACCAACCATCCCCAGGAGAGAATCTAGGGTCTTTAGNTTTTTACTGTATCAACAACAACAAAATCACATTTATGGAGCGCCTTTCACGTCGGGAGGACGGCCCAAGGCGCTGGACAGTCAGGGGTCAGGACCCGAGCATGGGGGAGGGGTGGGGGGAGGCAGAGAAGTGGGAGGGCAACTGAAGGCACGATCGAAGAGAAGGGTCTTGAGACCGCCCTTGAAGGAGGCGAGGGAGGAAGCGAGGTGACGGGACCGTGGGATGGAGTTCCAGAGTGTGAGGGCAGAGTATCAATGCAAATGGGTCTGTTTAAAAGGCTGATCAATATCAAATAGGTGCATTACAGATAGGGAGGGGTAGATAAAAAAAACACATCAGCACAAAGCTCTTCATCTCTAAAGCTACGAGGAAATCCTGAATTGTTTTTAATGTAACTGCCACGTTTTTTTCTAGAGCGCTTTTTTTTCTCCCTCCTACATGTTTTTCCAGGGCATCTGAATTATGGCATTCACTTTGAAAGACGACTCTATCAAATTCCGGGTCAAAAGCAAAGAAGGAAACTCAACAGCACAGAATGCTCATCTCTGTACCTGCTTTTGGCGTCTGTATTATTTTGTAGAATACACTTCCAGGTAAATGCAAAACCACTGTAAAATGCAACCTGTAAATAAAGTGGTCGGAACAAATAAGAGTCAAACTCTCGTAACAAAAAAATGATAACCTGCAGCTAGCTTTGATGGGTTCAAAATGATGAGACTGTTGCTTAAAATGTCACAACTTCATTCAAATTCTAATAACTTTCTAATGAATTTAATAAAATTTAATAAAATTTAATGAATTTTAGCGGCACAGGTCACTAAAATGAATCGTCCAATTCCAACTTGCAGGTTACACATCCGGAATTTCACGCTGAACGACGACAACACAATTACACTTGTGTAACGCCTTTCACGTCGGGAGGATGTCCCAAGGCGCTGGACAACTAGTGTTTGGGAAAGAGGGAATGTGGAAAGCTCTTCAAAACTGTTTGCTCGCTCGCTCGCTCTGAGAGAATCTGTCCCAGGTTCGTACAATCAGCCTATAGAAACCCCACAAAATAATCAACAGCCGGGCTTTTAAAAGTCCCGAATGGGCTACGTATTGTTTCCAGAACCAGTACCATTATTCGCTGAGGCACAAAGTGACTATAGTAGCACAGTAAACGCAAGCGAAAAAGCCGAAGTAATTCGAACTGGTGAGAGCTAACAATTATCAGATTGTTTAAACTGACACACTGTGTAAAACATAACACAGCGAGTCGCCATCGTCTTGAATTTATAACAAGCTCGGCATATTTTTGAGACCCACTGTCACATTAATTACACCCTGTAATGGAATATTTATTTACTTGTTCGTGCAGTCAAATCGATTTACCTCTGATCCAATCTTGGCACCGTTTATCGATCCAAAGCGTCGCCCCTCAATCACTCCCGAATGACCTCCTTCATTGTAACCTTCCTGATAACCTTCTCCGTGAAACCTGCCATCAAAACACACACATCCTTGAATGGGAAATTAACACCAAACACCGACACTGAAGGCAAATGCCTAAACATTGTGTACTTCAAGTAAGTAATAATAATAATAATAATCCTTGCACTTGATACAGCGCTTTTCACGTCTCCTGACAGACGTCTCAGAGCCCTTCACAGAATATACTGTGAAGCGAATTGACTGTATGTTTTGTGGGCGAAACGCAGCAGCCGACTGCGCCCGGCGACGTCCCACAGACAGTCGTGGATTTGAAGGGACCAATTTATTATTTTTTTCTTGAGGGATTATTATCAGGCGCGTGGAGAGAGAGAGAGAGAGAGAGAGTGAGAGAGAGGAGAGAAAGAGAGTGAGTGAGTGAGAGTGAGTGAGAGAGAAAGAGAGAGTGAGTGAGAGAAAGAGTGAGTGAGTAAATGAGTGAGAGAGAGTGAGTGAGAGAAAGAGAGTGAGTGAGAGAGAGTGAATGAGTAAATGAGTGAGTGAGTGAGTGAGTGAGAGAAAGAGTGAGTGAGAGAAAGAGTGAGAGAGTGAGTGAACAAACGACGACAAGCTCAGCGACTTTGTCACCTCGATCAACGCTATCTGATGTTTTTAAACAAATTAAAAATAAAACACATGTCACATTCCTCCACCTCCTCCTCCCCTCTCTCTCTCTCTCTCTCTCTCACCCTCAACTGCCCCCATGTGGAGTCCTGTAGCTCAGTGGTTAGAGCACTCGCTTTGCAAGCGAGAGACCTGAGTTCAATTCCAGGCAGAGGGCGAAACCTTGGGCAAGTTTCCTTACTCCACACAGAGCCTAATAATAATCCCTCCAAAACAATAATAAATTGGTCATTTTCAATCTACGACTGTTTGTGGGACATTGCTGTGCGCAATTGGCTGCCGCGTTCGCCCACAAATATACAGTCAATTCACTTTACAGTGTGTTCTGTGAAGCGCTTTGGGACGTCCTCCCGACGTGAAAAGCGCTGTATCAAATGCAAAGATTATTATTATTATTATTATTATTATTAAGTCAATCCGTATCACAGCAGCTCCCGTGAAGCGCTTTGAGACGTCTCGAGGACACGACCGGACGTGATATCAAAATGCAAGTATTATTATTATTATTATTAACTCCTTTTTCTCTCTTTCCTCCCTCACTCCCTCCATTCCATCACTCTCTCTCTGTCACTCCTTCTCACTCATTTATTCTCTCTCTCTCACTCTCTCTCTCTGTCACTGTCACACCCGGGGGTCTGGTCCTCACTGCCGACACTCACACTCTCTCTTTCACTCTCTCACTCCCTCTCTCCCTCACACTCCCTCTCTCTCCTTCTCTCACACTCACTCCCTCACTCTCACACTCCCCTCTCTCTCTCTCTCTCCCTCTCACACTCACTCCCTCCCTCACTCTCACACTCACTCCCTCTCTCTCTCTCTCACTCCCTCTCACACTCACTCCCTCACTCCCTCTCACACTCACTCCCTCACTCCCTCTCACACTCACTCCCTCACTCTCACACTCCCCCTCTCTCTCTCTCTCCCTCTCACACTCACTCCCTCTCTCTCTCTCTCACTCCCTCTCACACTCACTCCCTCACTCCCTCTCTCTCTCTCACTCGCTCTCACACTCACTCCCTCACTCTCACACTCCCCCTCTCTCTCTCTCTCCCTCTCACACTCACTCCCTCTCTCTCTCTCTCTCTCTCTCACTCACTCCCTTACTCTCTCTCTCTCACACTCACTCCCTCCCTCTCACTCCCTCACTCTCCCTCTCTCTCACTCACTCCCTCTCTCTCTCACTCCCTTTCTCACACTCACTCCCCCACTCTCACTTTCTCTCTCACACTCACTCCCTCACTCTCACACTCACTCACTCCCTCTCACACTCACTCCCTCTCACACTCACTCCCTCTCACACTCACTCCCTCTCACACTCACTCCCTCACTCTCACACTCACTCACTCCCTCTCACACTCACTCACTCCCTCCCTCCCTCCCTCTCACTCACTCCCTCCCTCCCGCCCCCCGGGGCCCTGGTTACCCGCCGGTACCGTTTATCCGCGAGGAGGATGGGATCGAACAAGTCGCCGCCGCTTCGCCTCATCGCCGCCATTAGCGCATGCGCAGTGCCCGCCGGGAGCGGGGGGGGGAGGGGGCGTGGCCACTCTTAAAGGGTCGGTCAATCTCTTTAGTGTCGGCCGACACGACCTCTTCCTTCTCAGCCCAGGAGATGGCGCTCCTCTACCATCCAAAGGCGAGTCCTGCGCAGCCACGTGTGTTTGGGCCATGCAGTCAATTTGTGGAATTGATAATTAATAATCAATAACGATCATCGGAAAATAATAATAATCCTTCCATTGACGCGATGCAGCTCGGGGGCCTCGTTACTCCAGACGCCTCCAAGCGCTTCGAAGAATATAATAATAATAATAATAATCCTTACATTTAATATAGCGCTTTTCACGTGGGGAGGACGTCCCAAAGCGCTTCACAGAACACACTGTAAAGTGAATTGACTGTATATTTGTGGGCGAACGCGGCAGCCAATTGCGCACAGCAATGTCCCACAAACAGTCGTAGATTGAAAATAACCAATTTATTATTGTTTTTGGTTTTGGAGGGATTTGGAGGCTCTGTGTGGAGTAAGGAAACTTGCCCGAGGTTTCCCGTTGCCTGGAATTAAACTCAGGTCTCTCGCTCGCAAAGCGAGTGCTCTAACCACTGAGCTACAGGACTCCACTAATAAATGAAAACCTGCTGACTGTCCGTCTGCTTGGTATCTTTACTTGAATTGTTTGCTCTGATTTTGTTTTGTATTCTGTTTGTTCTTCAGCTGCAATAATGTCGTGATTTGCAGTAAATGTGGTACAACTGCACAATGTTCAGTGCAGTGTGACAGAATGAGCCTTTGTTAATAATGATGGCTTCTGGTGACCACCGGAGGGTGTTCTGAAATAGAAGAGTAATCTTTTGCATTTTATATAGTGCCTGATAGTGTCAAACTGTCTCAAAGTGGTTCAGAGTTTTCTGTGAAGTGTAGTGACTGTGTACGTGACAACCAGCTTGCACACATCAATGTCCCATTTACTTGGTTTATTTATTGTGTGTTTTTCCCACAACTATACAATCAATTCACTTTACAGTATATTCTGTTAAGTGCTTTGAGACGTCTCGAAGACGTGATAAGGCTGTATATCAAGTGCAAGGATTATTATTATTATTATATTATTATTATTTAAGATTCAAATACTTAAAGTTGTTCAAACGTTTGTGGCCTCTCCAATCCATGAAAATGTCTGTCCATATAAAATAGCCCTTTTCGTCAAAACTGCTGCCTTTTAAAGTTTAATCCCAGATAAATATCTATGGTTACGTGGTGTGTGATCCTCCCTCACGTACCATTTTCCACCTATATGACTTTTAGTTTGTAAAATTCCACCAGGAGGTGATTAATCATGATATAAAAGTCCAGTGAGCAACAGTATAAGGAAAATTCCCGACTGCTGCAAATGATTAACTGTATACGATATCAAGGGAATAGCGGCACTGCCATAAGATCCAAAGCCAGTTCTTTTATCTCGGTTCAGTACCATCTTGTGAAAGTTACGGAGTTGTGGGTTCAGTAATTAACATGACCCATAATTTAATAATGGTAGCTAGAATACAGGCTAACTTCGTGTCATAAAGATATTAGGATGTATAGTGTATTGCAATAAATTTCACAAATAATGTGCCATATCATTGCAACTCCTGACCAAAGCCACAGGATGTTCTTGATATATGTAGTAAGATGGAAATAGCTTGAGTCACTAATTGTGGATCAAAGGATTGGTAGTTTTAGAGCCTGATTTGATATACACGGTTGTCACTCGTGTAAATACCTGGCTCCAGTACTCTCTGGGATTAAGTAAGCTGGGTGCATCCCTCCAGGGAGAGTGTGTGCATTCCTTTCCAGGCCCAGGGAAATTTCCATGAGTAGGTGGCTTACATATGTGGACCTCGCTGTCTGGCTTGAATACTCTTAAGCACGGTGATGGGATAAGTGGCCCGTAGAGAGGTGGCCGACAATTTGGTCAAATAGAGAGGGTTTTGCGAGCAGACAGGGCAGGGGTCAAAGCAGAGGAACGAGAAAGAGTTTCAGAGGGTGGAAATACGATGACTGGAGAAGAGCCGGGCCACAGTGTAATGGAGCAGGCAAGGGGGAAAGGAGGCCGGTATTGGTGGAGCACAAGGAGTGACTGGGTCAGTAAGGCCATAGAGATAGAGTGGGTCAAGTGAGTGGGGACATTTGAAGGTAAGAAGTCAATCTATTGGGCAATAGAGGAGCCTGTGGAGCCAGGAGCGGATGGGGGTGATGGGCTCAAAGAACCTAGTGCAGGGTAGGGTGTGGGCTGCGGAGTTTTGAACAGTCTGGAGCTTGGGGGAGGCAGGCAGGGGAGGTTAGTAAATAAGCAAAAGCTCTGTGACATATTTTAAATGCAAGCCAGTGAAGTTTTTGTTAAAATAACAAAAAGGAAAGTCGACGCCATTTCATTCCACGTTATGTACATGTTTTATTTTAATTTAATATACAAGAACTGTTCATTGTTTCCAGCTGTGAGTTCATTTGATATCATAGACACAGAGAATTAGAGAACCTTTACCTTGTAACTGACGGATCATTTCGTTCAGGAATACCAACTAACGATCGATTGCTTACCATTTCATCAACGTTCTGTCAAGACCCTTAAAAACCTGGCTAGCTGTCAGCAATCTGTTAGTTTCATTAATTCATCAGTCATTCATTCAGACACCATATCATAGCAGCTATAAGTATAATCCACAAGTCCACTTAACCTGATTACAGGATCACAAAAAACTGCAAAAATTGTTGGATAAATATATATATTTATATACATAAATATAGTAACAAAATGAAAAGGAATACCGTATTTAATAAGTTAATTCATAAATACTGTAATAAGGGTCAAGTGCTTGTTTGGGAGAATTCAAATCCTTTATATACAGCGTCAGTTATTTTACAGTTAATGTTAAATATTGTGAACTTTTTTTCATTTTTACAGCTGCCCTATTCAATCTTCCTGACAGAAGGCAGGGCACGGGGGTAATGTAAAGCCCTCTCCTTAGGGAAAAGCTTCACACTACACATTCAATTGTTTTCTCTGTTCCTTCCGGAAGATACACATTAACATTTACACCCCTCCTCCAACCATCTCCTTAGATTAAGTGGTTAACTCACACCCTTTACTGGGTTCAACCTGCATCTCCCAACTCTGCTCTTTAGGATGGCTAATCTTAATCACTCCGAGGTGCCAACTGGCACGAAGGGCGCTATATAAATGCAAGTTGTTGTTGTCTTAAATCTTAGCAGTGTCTGACTGGGTTAGCGCTATAACAGGAGGTTTAACTGCACCGGCTCAGCAAGCGCGAGGCAGCCCTTCACACCGCAGTACTGTTCGGTCGTCAGTTCAGCAAAACGGTTCGAGATTTTGCCAGTGAAAAGCGTCAGAGGTGCGATTCAATCATCGGATGAAGGCGGCCTGTTCACGTGGGTGTCGGACGTGATTTCAAGAGGATCCATGCTATCCAGCCTGATGGGCACAGCCCGCTGGGAGTTCATTTGAGGCGAATCGCTGAAATCGTCCCTTGAAACCTCCGCCACGGGAACTCTGTTTAACGTGGGCAGAAACTGGGAGAGGGGAGGCAACCCTTTGCCCCTGGCGTGCAATCGCTGCCTGACGCTGCTCAGCGACACGACGGCTCTGTACTTCTCCGACCAATACACGTTGTAACCGTCCGACAACAGTCGCTCTTTAAAGGAACAGTTTCCTTCGTCGTAGAAAAACTAAAATAAGAAAGAGAGAGAGAGAGAGAAAGAAAAGATCAGAGACTCTCGTTTTCATCTGGTCTTCAGCACAGCGTGTATTCAGGGTCAATAAAACCCCACGATGGATAGGCTGGTGGAACCAGGGATATGTATCAGCTTCCGCATAATACCACTCAACAAGAGCAATGTATTAGCGAAATGAGTTCTAGTGGGAGTAAAGTAACTGGCCCAGCACTGCAATTAATCAGCACTATTGGGACGTCCTCCTGACGTGAAAGGCGCTATAAAAAAAATGTAATTTGTTGTTATATTATGCAATGCAGATGAACGACCTAAAGGGCAGAAAACAACAACATAAAAACTCCACCTGCGGCATTTCAGACGCAGCCACCGTCGGGCGCTCAGGGATGCTCTCCCGTGCGAAGGGCGTTACATAAATGCAAGTTGTTGTGGCGGTGGTGGTTGTATTTCTTGCTGTAGGGGCGCTTTCCAGTCAACTACCACGAGTGCGCAGTCACTACACTCTGCCCAGCGCAGGGCTGCGAGATCTTTCCAAGACGTGACGAGGCACGACCACAAATGGCAAAGATTGTTTTATTCCACTTACCGAGCCATACAGGGTACCGTCTCTGTGCATGCACAGGTAGCGAGCGCTGCGGTAGCCTTTGATCGCCACCACTCCAGGCGCCACTGACCTCATTTCCACAAGACCTGAGACATAGGATTACACGCGTAACAATCAATCAATCAATCAATCAATCAATCAATCAATCAAACAGCGACAGCTCACATCCTAAAAGCTATGTGTTTGCGAATAAAGCTCATTTTATTCTCTCCCCCCACACCCCACCCCCCCCCATCCCTCCTCTACACACACATCACACTCACAGCATCAGATGAGCTGTCTACACTGACTGGGGGGCGAACTGGGGTTTCATCTTTATGCACTTATGCATTTATTTATTGTGAACCTCTTTCTGAATGTCTTACTCGTTCATTGCAGAGCCCTCGATTGCACCGAAGCTTTTGAACACGAAGCAAAGACAACCCTGAAGGTGTGGGCAGAGCGACTGGGCGTTGATTCGATTTGATTTTGATTTATTTTTCGAATTCATTCAAAAAAAAACGAAGTGAAATAAAACTTGTGGGTTTTTTTTTTCTCCCCCTTACACACTTACAGGTTGGACATTACACCCCCCCCCCCCCACCACCCCCTCCAGCGATCAGCATCGACACAAAGTGTGAACCGGTTTTGAGGTCCTGATATGTGCAATTGTTCAGGTCACCAAATTATAGTCAGTGATTTTGGGGGTTTTATTCCCTTTGGAAATAATAAGTAAGAAAAAACCCCATATCCATCCTTTCCCTCTGTTACTTGGGGACCCACTGTTTAAGACAGGTTTATATTGTAAATATAACTACAGCTGTTCCCCCTCTCTCTCTCTCTCTCTCTCTCTGTAGAGAGGACCACGGTTGTGTTGGCCAGAAACACACAAGTAGTCACAACGTGGAATCGACGCGATTTGCCATCATTCAGCACAAACCTTCTCAATAAAATCACCGCGTGGGCAAACATAGACAGCAATCAAAAGGGGGGAAAAGGGTAAAGAAGAGAGAGAGAGAGGGAGAGAGTGTGTGGGAGAGAGAGAGAGAGAGCTGACGATGGTTGGGAGCGTTTTGGAGGTAGAAATGGTCTCAGGGCTCAGGGTTTACCCCCAACGTCCAAAGTCGGGACAAACCCAAGTAACACAATTGGGTGACATTTCCTCCCCCAAAAAAGATGGGATTCAGAAAATGAGGACAGAGTAAAAGAGTGGACACGTTTGCTGGGACGACTTTAGAAGGTGGTGGTGTGTGTAATGTGTGTGCAGTGTGTAGTGTGTGTGTCTGTCTGTAAGTGCGTGTGTGTGAGTGTAGGACAGTGTGAGTGTGTGTGTGTGTGTGTGTGTGTGAGTGTAGGACAGTGTGAGTGTAGGACTGTGTGTGTGTGTGAGTGTAGGACAGTGTGAGTGTAGGACAGTGTGTGTGTGTGAGTGTAGGACAGTGTGTGTGTGTGTGTGTGTGAGTGTAGGACAGTGTGTGTGAGTGAGTGTAGGACAGTGTGAGTGTGTGTGTGAGTGTAGGACAGTATGTGTGAGTGAGTGAAGGACAGTGTGAGTGTGTGTGTGAGTGTAGGACAGTATGTGTGAGTGAGTGAAGGACAGTGTGTGTGTGTGTGTGAGTGTAGGACAGTGTGTGTGTGTGAGTGAGTGTGAGTGAGTATGAGTGAGTGTGTGTGTGTGTGAGTGAGTGTAGGACAGTGTGTGAGTGTGAGTGAGTGTGTGTGTGAGTGAGTGTGTGAGTGTAGGACAGTGTGTGTGAGTGTGTGAGTGTAGGACAGTGTGTGTGAGTGAGTGTAGGACAGTGTGTGTGAGTGTGTGTGTGAGTGTGAGTGAGTATGAGTGAGTGTGTGTGAGTGTGAGTGAGTGTGTGTGAGTGAGTATGAGTGAGTGAGTGTGTGTGAGTGTGAGTGAGTGAGTGTGTGTGAGTGTGTGCCAGGGCTGGGAGGTGTGCACTCACTGTGAGAGGATTGTCCGAGGCTGCCATCCACGGTGCCATCCCGGTTGATCTGCAGATGATAGCTGTGTTTGTTGGCTGTGTACAAGTGCCGGAGTCTGACGGGCTCTCCCCAGTCATTGTTCAGATGCGGCCCCTCATCCCCCACAGGGAGCGAATAGCCACTGAGTGGGAGAGACAACTGACTCAGCAGCAGAGCCCAACACCCCCTGTACAGCATCGAGCACCACATTTTGCAATGGTCTGGAGGCTGTGTGCACATCGAGGGTTAACCCCAACCACACAAGAGACCTCTCTCTCTCTGTGTGTGTCCCTCTCTCTCCTTTTTTCCCCCCTCTCTCTCTCTCTCTCTCTCTGTGTGTGTCCCTCTCTCTCCTTTTTTTCCCTCTCTCTCTCTCTCTCTCTCTCCCTCTCTTCCCCCTTTTATTATTCAGTGCTGACAAACCGGTTCCTGTGATGGTTTGCTTTGCTCCCCCCACCAGCCCCCCCGCCCCCCCCCATGGCATCTGAATAAAGAGAGAGGGACCTGTGGTTCAGCCTTTTTAAGAAGGTGCCCCAATCGTTCATCAGCAAAAAAAATCGATAAGGCAGTTTCCCCCAATAGAGTGGTTGGAAACTCAGCCATAAGTGTCATTTTTTTTTAATGTGTGTGTGTGAGTGTGTGTGAACCCAGTGTCATTCATTCATTATGTATTGCATCATAATCTCAGGGATATCCCAGCCTTGTGTGATCAATCTTTGGACCATTACAGATAGACAGACAGACAGACAGACAGACACATACACACACACTCACACACCTGTCTGGGTTTCTACCCCCTCCCCCCTCCCCCCCCCCCCCCCCCCCCCACCCCACATACACACAAAAAATCGTGGATTGACAAACTCTAAACTATTTCTATATGTGTGTGTGTGTATATATATATATATGTGTGTGTGTATATAAAGATTTTGATCAAAAGCGTCAAAATTTCCAACTTTAAGGCAACATTTACTTTGTTTTCCGAAACCAAATGGGCAACTCCAGCCACTTTTGCCTGATTTTGTCCGCGCCTTGCAATATCCTTTCAACGTGAAAGGTGCTATACAATATATATACATATATATATACTGAATTTGTCACCCTCCTATCCCTATCCCTGCCCTCCACCCCTCCTGATCCCAAACCCTACTCCAGTCCAAATCCCTGACTGTCCAGCGCCTTGGGATGTCCTCTCGACCTGAAAGTGTAATTTGTTGTTGTTGTTGAGTTTGGCCGAGGACCAGAAACCTCTTGGAGGAGGGAGAGAGAAAAAGTAACGCATTTTGTTACCCAAACACATCAATTCGGCACAATGTCTACATGTATCCAAAATGTAAATTTATTGGGGTTTTTTATTTAAAAAAAAGGACAGGGAAAGAAAATGGGAAGCTTTCCTGCTCGCCTGGTTCTGTTTTCCTGACCCCACTGCAAATCTTTGCATTTCTTTTCCTTTTTCGTGAGGAAATCTGGTCAGTTTGTCACTGCTCGTACGCAAACTGTTGAGGGCGCTGTGTCTCCAGTCCCAGACAAGAGGCTGAAGACAACAGAAAAGTGACAACAAAGCTTCTCCGCACTCTGTCGAAGCTAAGAAAAAAAACACAAAAGGGAGCATTGACCTCTGGGTTATTACACCGGTTTTTATTTTACAACAGTGAGTAATACTCTGTATGGCGCAGTTGTTCCTAGATTAAGATCAGATATTTCCTGCAGACTGTGAACTGTTGCCCTGATAATGTTCCAGTAATGTTGATGATGTCCCTGTGTATTTATTGTCTTGTTGACACAGATTCGAGGCAGTAAAGACTACGCTACATTTTTGACTGAAGCTGTCCAAATACCAAAACCGAGAAAAGTACACTTGAAATTTAAGTGTATTGAATAAACAAGTGATGTATAACTTTGTTGTTGTTGTTGTTGTTGCCAGGTTATCTCCCCTCATTGAGGGTTCTGATTCATCCCGTGGTGCCAACAATTCCCTGGCGCCAACTTCAAGTGACTGTTCTTAGCCCATTATGTTTGGTCAGCCGGGTGTCCGACACAAGCGGAAACCCATCACCGGGCTTAAGAGTATCCAAACCAAACCGAGAATTCCATACATCACACCTACACATGGAAATCCCAGAGATAGATTGTTGGAAAGGAATGCGCTCTCTCTCTCTCTACATGGAGGGATGCATTCTGCTTTTCAGTTCTGCAAAGTATTAGGCAGAGGTTGGAAAGACCCCAGAATGTGCATTGGGGTAACTGCTGGAGACTTACCAGCTAAAATCTCATAGCTTGCCATTGATATCGCTGATGGTGAGAGGAGCAGGTGATTTGATTTTAGAAGGCTATTGAGTCTGATTCGAGTCCTTTCCCTAACATTTCTTTGTCACTACAACATTTTCTATAGTCACCTTCGTATTGTGTTTCAGCGACTGCATTGATATTGCAGGGAATTTTTATCTGCAGGTAGACGACACTGCTTGAAAACATTTTGTTACAGTCGATCAATTTCGTCCTCTCTGAACTGTGTCATATCATAGCTTCCCTCCCATTATCCCAGTTTCCATCCTTAACACTAATTGAAGCAACGCCAGAGCCATTTGGAAAGGTCAAGGGCTCTGTTTCACATCACCAAGATGATTAGTTGTCATAATTTGACATTGGACCCAAAGAAACCTAAATGTGGGGAGAAAGCAAAACCTATTTCTTTAAAAGAAAAATAGCTTGTGTGTGTATGTGTGTGGCATAGTTTTTCTGAATTATGTATGATAACCTGACCAACACTAGCTCCGCTGAAGTCTCATATGCTGAAGCCACTACTCCGTGTGAAACTGAATGGTCTCCGGTTCATTTTGTCAGGTCTACGTGAGTAAGCTGATCTCAGCCAGGATGGCAGTAAAGTACCACAAATGGCCTGTGTGTTCTTGGCTGGAGCTCAGCCAGCGTTTCCTGCTACTGATCGATATCTAGGGACCATTGCTGGAAAGTACTCATGTACATATGCAACACCCCCTTCAAAAAATAGATTCGCAAAAATAAACAGAAGCAAAGCATACACAAGCACCCAACAATACTGTGAAAGTGTAACTTAAATGAGTTCCCTTTAAAATTGGTAGAAGGCAGGGGAGGTGAACAAAGGATGTTATGAATAAAACGGGGTGACAGTGATGTGCATTATCAATCCACACGATAAATCCTCAGATTGTTAGTATTGATCTGTAATTATTTAGAGTGTTCTATGTAACAGATAATATTGCACTGCAGATTCACAAGAGGTGGATTGCAATGTTTTTGTGTCGAAGGAAGGCAAGCAATAAATAAAGCAACAGCATTTCCATTTAAAATAAAACACATAAAGCCTGAGAATGTGCCAACAAGGCCCACCACCTATTCAAGTAGATTTTAGAGCTGCACTACTTCACAGTTACTGGCAAATATTTTTCCCAGCATTTAGTTAGGAGCCAAACAAAAGTACACTGTTTCCAATCATTTTCTTCCAGGCTCCGTCTGTTGTGAGGTTTGCGGGAGCACACCCCACTTTGGGACCTTGAAAACAAACACAAACACGACTGCTTATGGGACGCACTTTTATCCTTCTCTTAGTACAATGTGGGAATCTGGCAACGTACAAAATGTAATAGACTTTTGTTTTCATATTTAATTTCTCACCTCTCTGCAGAAAACACTAATTTTATGATGGGATCTTCCACTGCTACTGACAGCTACTTTAATGTCAGTTTGTAGGAGTTCTGAATGAGTTCTACATTGTTGGAGGTGCTGTCCTTTAAAAGAGATGTTAAAGAGGTTCTGTTCAGGTGGATGTTACACATCTCGCAACATTATTCTTTAAAAAGAACAGGTGGCCAATATTCCCCCTTCGCCTAAAAATACCAAACAGATTAAATCTGGTCATTGATCTTATTTTTTTGTTTTGTGAGACATAGCCGCTGTGTTTGCCCACATGACAATAGTCACTACACTTCAAAGTAACTCATTGCATGAATCGTTTGTGAGATGTTTCAACACAATAAAGCGCTACATGAAGTGCAAATATTTTCTATTGGTTCAATGGAAATAGCAAAGAAAAGAAGGTAAGGGGAAAGGCTGCTACAGCAATATAGGTTAAATGATAGGTGCTCATCCTTGCTATTTGTCAATACATCTGCCCTTTGGTGCAATGCGTAACATATTAAGCAACCCAACAAAGATTTTCCCAAATTTTAATTACGAAAGGCTAGGCATGATGAAAGAACCACTCCAGTCTTAAGGAGATTTGCAATAAAATGTATTACGTTCAGCAAACAGCACATACTATTTTCCTGTTGAATTGTGTCTGATCGATGTGCACAGTACAATCAGGATACAATCAAATCCGCCTGCTGGTGTCCTCACGAGATTTTACAAAGCGTAAGAGAGTGTTTGTTAAATTCTTGAGCGGAAGAATTATATATTGCATTTTGAGTGTTGCTTTAATAAAGTGTAATGTTTTAGGTTGCTTTCACATGATTTCTGAGTGCAAGCATTTATTTTTGCTTGCATGGCTTTGTGGGTCACCGCACGTTTGCATTGCCACTTAGGACACTGTGTAAAACAATGCAATCATTTTGTTAATCTTTTCTACACCTTGTAGGTTTCCTTAAATGCAAGCTTCCTGCCACTGTTGTGGAAATCAGTATGGATGGGTGACGTTACTGATGTGAAGCAATTGACAGTTGGACAGGTAATTGTTTTTTTATTTGTTTTCCCGAGTATTTCACAACAGCAAAGGGCAATGAGTTTGGGATCAGAGTCCCCATCCCACATCAATTCCCTTTTGAGCCACCTGCACACAGGCATGCTTGCTAGCACACTATCAAAGATAACACACTATCAGCCGCCTGGGGTCAAGCACCAGAGGGTAATGGTCTATTATACAAATTTGTCACCAGCAGCTAAAGATGACCCAACTTGACAAGCTTCCGTATAATACGTGGCCTAATAGGCTTTTAGTCAAACATAATGAAAACATGAGGTTTCCATTGATCCTAATCAGATTGACCAACTAAAGGCTCTTTGTTGATCAATTAAAGACCAACTGAAAAGAAAGGGCACACAACAGTAACAGACCAGAATAGGAAACTCCATAGGCCTCACAGTGAAGAATGACCATGACTGTGATAGGAGAGTTGAAGTCCCAACGGTTACTTGAAAACATTAATAATGTAAGTAGAGTTGTTCTGTGTATCCGTTGGCTCACTGTGTTGTGGGCAGTAATGATGGAGGGTACGTGGGGTTTAGAGAGGGTTTAAGCTAAACATGAGCCATTTTACAAGAGGTGTTAAATCCTA